TCCATTCATTGCACTCAACCCCGACAGACCGAGGAATGCGGCTCCGCATCCAAATTCCAAAATCTACGCATCAACGAGCAAAGGGTTAAACAAGGCTTAAAACCTTTGGCGCAGTCGTGAAGTCCTGTAATTTAACTCCAGTGATCATTCTGACAGCGCAGCCATGGAGCAAGACAGAAACTGCTGGGAGAGCCGCTCACATGAGGCTCTTAAGACAATACATTACACACACTGGTAATTAGGGTCAATGACTCCTTTGTGGAAAAATGTTTACCAAATATTGTACGTTGAGACAGGGCCAAAAGGGATGCAGATTAAAAAGTAAGGGCTAGCTTCTACTGCCTTGACTAACGTTGAGTAGTATCTTAGCACAAGGAGCAATCTTTGGGATTGCATGGATGTGGTAAGAGCCTACTCTGTGTGAGTAAGGATGGCAGTATCTGGTCCTGTAAATTGTTATAAAACAAATTAATTTACCGACATTATCAGAACCACTTAAAACGATTACACTTGAAAGATTCATTTAAAAAAAAATCAGGCTTGCTTTTTACCATTAATCCTGTTTGTTTACTTTTCTTTCTGCCTAGGCGCCGACAATGGTCATTTTCAATTGCTGGTTCTCATGCCCTTACGCATTGCTGAAATCACTGACTTCCAAACACGGCAGGGGTATGTTTTGATCTGAGGAAGAACCATTTTTCATGGCACTTTTCCTTTTATTTCCAGAAAATATTTCTTTTCATATAAGGAACTGGGAAACTTTAAACACACAGCTTAAATCTGGGACTCACTCTACCCGCTAAGTTCCCTCACAAGAAAGCCAGAGCTTGCCTGCTAGAAAGGGGGATATTGAATGCTAAGCATCTGAATAATGAATTACATATCTTTTCTGCTGAGGCAGGAACATATTAGGCATTGCAAGCTCCAGCCTAGAATTCTTTGACTGGCTTCCAGCTGTAAACATTCAACAGGAAGAGGTTAATTTTTTTATTCAGTTAATATAAATACCAAAAGGTTCCTTACTGCACTGGCCCTCGTTACTGTGCCATACATTCTGCAATTAGAAGCATATTTTTCTGTGATGCTGAGGTACATTTTGCCAAACCAACAAAATGCATCAAGCTCCAACATTGATGCCAAAAATACCCACTGTGTAATTTATGCCAAATCAACAAAAGTTTTCTTTTGTCCTTCCCAAACCACACGAAAGAACAATCTGTTAAGAAGTCCAAATGTTAAAGTTCAGAAAAAGGCCTCTATTCTGCACTGTGCAAGATAGGCATGAGATAACAAAACAGGCAAAGTCTAGCAGGGGCGTTGTGCAAGGAGCTGATAGGTTAGCATCTTTTTTCCATGCCAGGAATGGTTTCTTTCTAGCTCTATTTATTCCCCCCCACACACACTTCCCCCTTCTTTCACTCTCTTTCCCCCCCCCCCCCAAACTTCCCTTAGCATCTGGAATGTGTAGGCAACAATCCATGTGTTTGCAGTAAACTTTGAAAGCATGGCCAATGAGGACCACATGGGCAGGTATTCTGGAAAGCAAACCTGGCTTTACCGAACTGCTTGAGCAGGAAGGCAAGATGTACAGAAACTATGGAGCACAGCTGAATTATAGGCAGTGGGGTGAAGGGAGAGGGAGAGCATTTCGGTGGCAATTAAGCTTTTCCTTTTTCCCCAACTTGAAGAAGAATTTTAATTAGAAGTTCCAGCATTTGGTTTTAATTCAGCCCAATGCACAAATGGTTTAGTTCCACCGAGCATATTTTCATAGCCTGTGAAACAGCCAGCAACTAGGAAACCATTAGAGCCAGTGATTACTTGAAGTTATACTTTTGGAAACATTGGGAAAATGGATTCACTTACAATTCTCTATGCATTAGGGTGGATCCAAGTGAAATTAGTTAAGCAGGTTTGGCTCAATTAAGTTTGGCTCAATTAATTAACAACCACCAATAAAATAATAATAATAATAATAATAATAGAGAGAGAGCGAGAGAGAGAGAGAGCGAGAGAGAGAGAGATGCAGTAGGCTTTGCACAGTCGGCACAGATATTAAAAGCGGCATTTTGCTGGCGTGCACAGCTTTGACTAGCATTTAGATTAGAACGGCTGCTAAGTCTCTGCGCTGTGTCTGAATGGTGACTGGATGAATGTTAGTCAATAAAGTTCAATCTGGCACCAGCCAAGACCAAATGATTCATTGCCATAGTAACCAATAATGCATGCAAAGGTTCCTTTAAATAAGTATTTATTATTTATAAGCACATCCGCTGAGCTCAAATGCCATTTTAAAATAGCCAAAGTCTCTATTCTTTTTAAAAGAATGGGAGCTGCAGTCTCAATACTCAGGATGGGAGCAGCACAGGGAAGCCCCTTCCCCGCTCCAGGGAAGACCCCCTTCCAGCTCCGAGGGTCGCAGGGATGTACCGGCCACTTCTGGGATTGATATGATGCCAAGGCAGCAGGGAGCCTGCCTTAGCCACACTGGGCTGCTGAACTTTTAGCAGGCTAAAATCTCCTGGCTTGTTTTCAGTAGCCTCTGGGACAGTGGTTCCCAACACGGTGCCCGCAGGCACCATGGCGCCCGCGGGGGCATTTGTGTGCGCCTGCCAAGTGCTCAGGGCTGGCCTGGCCCTGGACATGTGGCACATGCGCTGTGCCGGAGCCAGCCTCGGGCGCATGGAGCACAGTGAGCGCCGGCCCCGGGAGCACGACGAAGTGGCCGCCCGAGCTCCAGGTGCGCGGCAGATGGGGAGCACCGGCACCGGGTGCATGGCTATGGGAGGGTGGGGGCGCCAGCCCCGGGCGCGCGGCGAAGTGGCCTTCCGCGCTCCAGGCGCACGGCTATTGGGAGGGGGGGATGCCGGCCCCGGGTGCATGGCTATGGGAGGGGAGGTGCACCGTCCCTGGGCACGTGGCGAAGCGGCCGTCCGTGCTCTGGGCACGCGGAACATGGGGAGCGCCGGACCCTGGTGCGTGGCTATGGGGGGCGCCAGCCCCAGGCACGTGGCTCATGGGGGTGTGGCATATGCACGGCCACGCCCCCTGGTGTGCAAGTGTCCCCACCCTCTGGTGCCCGGCAGGCGAATGGCCACGCCCGCTGGCGCCTGGCGACATCAAATGGTTGGGAACCACTGCTCTGTAAGATGGAGTCCAATTCTGGAAGACTTCCAGAGTACGTCCCACAGCAGCATTATTTCAGAATAACGCCCAGTTATTCCAAGATAACATATTGCACGTCTACACAGCATGCCTGTTATTTTGAAATACATTCGGAGTAACGGGTTTCTTACTCTGACTTCTATAACCCTCATCGTATGAGGAGTAAGGAAAGTCAGAGGAAGAACGCTCTATTTCAAAATAAGTGCTGTGTAGACGAGCCCAAATTCACAATAAGCTATTTCGACTTTAGCTACACAATTAGCATAGCTCAAGCTGCGTAGCTTATTTTGAGTTCAGCCCTGTTGTGTAGACATATCCCCAGCGAAACCAGGAGCATTCACAACCCTATAAGCAGGCCTCCCCGCTTTATGCAGCAATCAGAAAAGCTGTATGCAATGCATTAGCAACACAAGGGATAAGAACTCTGTGAGTGTAGCGCCTATTAAAAATGCAGAACATAAAATACTTTGAAGAGTTCCCTAAGCAAACTCATATGTTGAAGTCTGGGGTAGAACTAGGCCGGGCAGACCAAAGAAGCCACGCAGACGTGTGAGGTTTTTTTGCTAATTACATTGGGATTCTTTGTGAAACTTCATTAGAAGTGGCAGCGGAAGCAGCACATTCAGCCGTAGCTCATGTTGAGGGGCTGATCAAAAAGCCCGTTGGAGTCACTGGGAGTCCTTTTACTTCAATAGGATCATCCCCTGAGGGTGTGTTTATTTACACTGCCCTCATTCAGGTGTGAGATTTGCCCTTCCAAAACAGCAGTCGGCAATGTTTCCAATTGACACAGCCTAGACAGGGGGCAGAGTAGCATCCAAGGCGCCCAAGCAGACCTGGTTGTAATGCCGGTGTTTCTAGATTGATGGCGGGTGCCTGGGTGTGGTAAGACAGAAAACACCTACAATCTTGGTCAGAGGAGCTAACAGACTTGCCGGGCTCCTGGGCAGGATAGGGGGGGGCTAAGCTTTGCGCTTAGGGTTGCCAGATGGTTTCAGAAAAAATACTGACCCCCCCCACACCCACACACACACACACACGCGCGCCAGGAAAAAGTTTGTGGAGGAAAAAAAGGGAGGGGCACACCCGAGAGTTGTTAAACAAAAAACAAAAAAACCCGCGTGCTGGTGGCTGCCCGCCATCTTGTCTCCTTGCACAGGGCCAGACAGCTCCCCTGCGGAAGCACTAGGGTTGCCAGGCTACCTCCGTATTGAGCCAGACAGTCTGGGATTTTCACCTCCTGGCCGGGAAAAAAATCAGAACGTACCCGACATTTTAGGTGTCTGGTATTTTCTGCATTTTTTTACCAGACAGGAGGTGAAAATACCAGACTGTCCAGTTCAATACCGGACCCCTGACAACCCTATTCGTGCTCCCGGAAGGGGCAGGGCCTCAGGCAGCAGAGGCGGGCCTGGGGCAGCCAGCCGCTCCAGCCATGATTTAAAGGGCCTGGGTGTCCTTTAGAATTGCTGGAGCCCGGAGCAACTGCCCCCTTCCCCTCCACATATAAGTGGGAATTTTGAAAAGATGTTTCGATATTAAAATGGCTGCCCAGCCTGCTGCTGGATGTTGCAGGTAGAACTCAGCTCCTCAGAGGACATGCCCGCTGTCTCCTGTTCTCCACAAAATGCCGCCTGTAAGGGACAAAGCGTGACCGGAGGGGGGATACTAGAACTGACAGAGTTGAGAGGGAAAAGAGGCCCAGTTTTGCTAAATGATACTTCCTCAGGGCTGGGTCTGGCATATTAGTCAAAGCGTTGGGTTCTGCAACTCTCTCCCGTGCATGGTCTTGGCTGCCGGAATGCACTGGGATGGCTTGCACAAGGACTTGATGTCTGGGTTATTGTTGCAGGACTGGGCTACTGCTGCCTCGTTATTGGAGACTATAAAGCCACTTCCTTCCTAAAGACAATCTCTCTCTGCTGACTGCGATTGTATCCAGCTTCTGAAGTGAGTTGGGTAGATCGGATGTACTGTACTTGGCAGATTAGGCTGGGAAGTGGTCCAGTGGTATGCACTAAAACCTCTGTGCACGTTGAATTGTACTGAAAACCACTCCGGGAGAGGGATAAAGGCTCTGTAACGTACTTTTGCAGAATGGCTAGCACAAGCGAGCCAAACATTTCCCATGAGTCATTTGTAAGTCAGCAGGGCTCCTCCTGAGACAACACTGCCTCCATCATACTGGTGTCAACGTCATCAAGCAACACTGTGAACCAAAAACCTGTTTGTAGCTGGAGCATGTATTTGGCCACTGGCCGTGCTCAGTTGCTGGCTTAGCTCATGGGTGATCTTTTTTGTTACCTCGACTAGTATTTAGACTAGGTGCACTTTCTGAATGAGCAGCAGTAATAGGGGCGACATGTTTACTCAGAGTTATAGCATATGCTGCTGGTTTAGGTTCTTGGGTTCCCCCCCTTAAATGTGTAATCTTGACTTTATCCCCAAACAGGGCTCCTCCTTTCTCTAGCTATCCTGTTGTCAAAACAGCTCTGCTGAGGAGATAAGAGAGCTAAGACCCTGAAGAGGCTCCTTCCTGCCCCCAGCTCGCTATCTCTCTGAGAGGTTCGTCAGCAGCCTCTGGGAAGGGCAGCAGACAAATGGAGACCAGGGCCTGGCATCCTCTGTGAGCGTCCAGTCACGTCGAAATGGAATATTTGGAATGGCTCGTGAACCCCAGATAAAAGCCAAGTGATCAGTGTCTACAAGATCCTCTGTTTTCTGTCAGCAGATATTTCCCACAAGGGTAGATATTCATTCATGAAAGGGCACATCTTTCTGTGTGTTTTATCCCAGTTTTCTTTCTCCCTCCTCAAAGCCGCTTTCTTCTGAATTAAATTAGACTGAGGCTTTGGAGCGCATCCAGGTCCACCTCAAATAGAAACACAAGAGAAAATCCAGTTATAAAGGGATGGGATTCGGTTTGTAGGATTCTCTTTCCAATGATTAAAATCTCCCCTTGAGCAATGCATCCTCAGACAAGAGCTGGCAGCTGGCACCAATCTGGTTCTTTCCAGAGGAGGGCAAATCAAGATCTCCCATTGCACGTCTAGGTCCCTGTTGCGCTTCGATTACTTATCCATGTGTGTATTCATGTTATCCATGTGCGTAAGCACCTCGCTGAATCATGGCTTTACTGCTCCCTTGATTGGCAAGCGAAGCAGTCAGGGGGAGTAGGTGAGCTCTTGAAGTTAGTCATCTACGCCTCTTCATTTCATTAATGAACAAACAGACTTTGATTTCTACAATCAGATTCGTTATTCAGAAATGCTCTCTGGGTCACCAATATGAATAGCTTCCGAGCTGGGGCTGTCCATAAACGGCTTGCCTTGGCTACTAATCAGTTATTTGTGCCTTCTGTTGCATGATTGGCCACCTATTCTCTGAATTTTTTAAAGAGTGAATCACACCTTTTTAGTCAGGGCCCTTAGACATTCAGGTTATCAGTGATCACTGAGGGCTAGTGTCTTAACTACTCTGTTGTCCGATCCACATCGGAGCAAACCCCTTGGCAGCAATGAGGTGACATGCTAAGAAAAAGGCTGCTGGAGACAGGATTGCATGACCCAGGTTTTGTCCCCCCCAAAGTCCTCTAACCTTCTCTGAATCTTCTGTTTATTTCTTCTGCGCCATCAAAAGCCCTTTTCCTAAGATGGGGTGTGGTCCCCTGCTACTTGCTGGCAAATCTGTTTTATCTCGCCTAGAGCTAAGTCTACACCGCAATTAAACCCTTGTGGCTGGCCTGTGTCAGCTGACTCAGGCTCACAGGGCTCGGTCTGCGGGGCTGTAAAACCGTGGTGTAGACATTCTGGCTTGGACTGTAGCTCGGGCTCTGCGAGCCTCCCTCCTCACCAGGCCTCAGAACTTGGGCTCCCGCCCGAACTTGAACAGCTACGCAATTTTACACCCCCACACTCCCTGAATCAGCTGACAGGGGCCAACCAGAGGTTTTTATTTGCAGAATAAGTCTTAGCCACCGGTGTCTCCAAGATTTTGTGCTTCGGTTCGGGAGGCCCTTGGTATCATAACTTCTGCTGCTGCCCACGTCATCTGCCAACTGTAGCTGTGAGCTTGTTTAATCTGATTATTAAGTAAAGATTTTGAAATAACAAAGAACAGAGTTGCCTGCTGGCTTGATGGGTTCTTTCGGGAGCCAGCTATGCTGTAGTTTTGTTATTAAAAGAAAGGAAATCTATCAAAGGATAAACTCCTGGTGCCACAGGGTGATCTGTTCTATAGGTATTCCTGCAAGACACACAAAATATAATCACTAAATAGGGCTGGCTCTTTATCAGGTTTGGTTCTCTTGTATTTTCCTGTTGGAGACGCTGGAAGTTTACACTTTTAATAACTCTGTACTGTCAAAGGGAATTTTCTGTATTTCTGCCTACATTTAGCATTGGAACAGGGCCGCGTTAACTGAGATCAACTGTGGTATTTTGCCTGTGGAATGGGTTAAGGGCCCATCTACATTGGAAAGAAAAACCCCAGACTTGGGGGCCTTGGGCTGTGTGGCTGGTTCGTTGCTAGAGAGATGCCAGGACCTGGAGCGCAGTCTGTCGCCTAAGCCTGTACATCGACACAGCCTGAGTCAGCTGGCACGGGCCAGCTGGAGGCGTTTCTACTGTGTAGACAGACCCTGCAGGAAGCAAGGCCCTTGTGCAGAACGTGGGGGCATTTCTCTGTGGGGACGTATGGTGATGACTGGACCTGGAGCTCGAAAGTTAATGCCAAAAAGTGAGGAAATGTCCCAGGGCAGAACCCTGGGGATTCTGGTGAAAATTTAGAATAGGGGAAAAGTAAGAGACACAAAGCTCTTTGCAGCTGGTTGGCAGAGCCAGCAGGAGCTCCTGGCCATTCAGTGCCAACCCAGCCACTTCGGCAAGGTTGACAATTGTTGTCAATGGTGTGACACTGTTGCAAAAAAAGCCAACGTGATTCTGGGAGGCATTAACAGGAGTGTTGTGAACCAGGCACAAAGTCATTCTTCCGCTCTACTCTGCACTGGTTAGGCCTCAGTTGGAGTCTTGTGTCCAGTTCTGGGCACCACATTTCAAGAAAGATGTGGAGAAATTGGAGAAGGTCCAGAGAAGAGCAACAAGAATGATGAAAGGTTTAGAAAACATGAGCTATGAGGGAAGACTGAAAGAATTGGGCTTGTTTAGTTTGGAAAAGAGAAGACTGAGAGGGGACATGAAAGTGGCTTTCAGGTATCTAAAAGGGTGTCATAAGGAAGAGGGAGAAAAATTGTTCTTCTTGGCCTCTGAGGATACAACAAGAAGCAATGGGCTTAAGCTGCAGCAAGGGAGGCTTAGGTTGGACGTTAGGAAAAAGTTCTTAACTGTCGGAGTGGTCAAACACTGGAATAATATGCCTAGGGCAGTTGTGGAATCTCCATCTCTGGAGATATTTAAGAGCAGGTTAGATAAATGTCTATCGGGATGGTCTAGACAGTGCTGGGTCCTGCCACGAGGGCAGGGGACTGGATTTGATGACCTCTCAAGGTCCATTCCAGTTCTAGTGTTCTATGATTCTATTGCTTACAGGACTGGTTGATGCCCTCCCCCATAATAACACCCCCATCTCAGCTCTGCCCGCTCTCCCAAGAGAATTCCACATGCTGACACGCTTAAAGACTGACCTCATCCACAGAGAGAAATGATAATAGGAGGGTCCCACACAGAGCTTCTGGCATGGGGGATAGAAGGGACATGTAGACACCTGGGCACAGAGGGAAATGGGGATGAGGAAAGTGAGGGGGGGGGATAGAGGACAGTGAGGAATAGGGAGCACCTAGAGCTCCAGGCATAGGGAGAGAAGGGTGATAATGGTATGGTGGAGGGAGGTATAGTGGACACCCAGAGCCCCTGGCATGAAGTGGGGGCTGTGCAAGGGGGAGAGGGTTTTCCAGGAGTCGCTGAAACAGAGGGGGATGGTCTGGTGGCACACGGGGAATGTGTAGGGGACAATCAAGGGATGTAAAGAGCCCCCGATGTGTGCAACGAGTAAGGTTGCCAGATGGTTTAACCAAAAACACCAAACACCCCCCTTTCCCCCCCAAAAAAAAACACCAGAGAAAACATTCTGTTGAGAAAAAAAAAAGGGGGAGACAAAAGTTGTTGAGCAAAAAAATAAATTAAAAAAACCAGCATGGCCCCTTTAAGAAAAGACAAAACAGCATGGCCCCTTTAAGAAAAGACATTAAGGCTTTTTGCCAGTAGCCATCTTATTTTCCTGAGCCAAAGACAGTGCCCCTGCAGAACCAGGTAAGTGGGAGGGCCAGGGGGACTGGAGGAGGGCCGGGGGCGGGGCCTGGTTGTTGAGTGTGTCATAGGGTTGCCAGGTGTCCGGTATTTTCGCTTCCTGTCAGGGGAAAAAAATTCGAAAATACCGGACATTTTAGGTTCCCATTTTAGAACATTTCTGAATTTTTTTACCGGACAGGAGGCAAAAATACTGGACTGTCCGGGTCAATACCGGACACCTGGCAACTTTAGCAACGAGCCCAGTTTAGGGAAGTTGCAAAGCATGTGACCCTCTGGTTACCTGCCCTCCAGTTCCATTGCTGGGGGCCCCGCGACCCCGGTTTATCCTCCGGGGTGCTCACTGTGCAAGCGAGCGCCCCGCTTTCAAACAGGAGACGGATGCTTTCCCCACATGGCCCTACTGGGTCATTCCCCGGTCAAGCGGCTGTCCCTGGCAGGGGAAGCCCGGGGGTGTCGAGGCTGCTCTATGGGAAATACTGAACCGGGACATGTGGAACTCCAGCCAGCCCCCTGGCAGCCCCACGGCGCTCAGTGGGAAATGGGAGCCCTGCTGTCTCTCAAATGCAACTATCCTGCACTGAGTAAAAACAAAAAAAATCCAGCCCCCCAGGGGAGGCCTGACTGGAGCTTCCAGCCACAGAGTTGGTACCCACATGCCTGCCTGCCATGCAGCGCTGCCGACTTACGCCATTTTATCACCTGTCCCACAGTAGCGGACGTTTGTTTGAAAGACCCCCGCTCCTGGATGCCTTACTGTGAGGGGAGGTAGCAATAGACTCAAGTAGCTCAATCTATTGAGTTCAACAAAGAGGACGGTGAAGGGGTGACTTGAGCAGTCGGTAAGTCTCTGCGTGAGGAACCCATATTTGATACGTGGGCTCTCCAATCCTGTAGAGAAAGGCCTAACATGAACTGACAGCTGGCAGTTGCAGCCTGACAAATTCACACTGGAAATACGGCACACGTTTTTTGACAGTGATGGCCATTAACCATTGGAACCATTTCTGGAGGCTGTGGTAGATTCCCCACCACTGATCATTTTTAAATCAAGATAGGATGTTTGGCTGAAAGATCTGCTGCATTTCTAACAGTTATTTGGGGAATTTCACAGTGGTCCTTCTGGCCTTGGAATCTATGGGGGGAAAAAGCAAAACAAAACTTCTCTAACCCTTACCGTTGCTGGGAGAAGTTTGAAAATGTGACCCAAGAGCAGGATTGAGACTTAAAAACTGGAGGGCAAATAAAAAAAATCCAGAATATATTTAAAAAGTCTTATGATTTCGACTCCAGTCTCCTGGTGATTTGGGGGCAAGAGGAGTTTGACTTATGATTTTTCAATATTTGGGGTGCAGGGAGAATGCTATGGTTCCTTGCTGCGGTGCCCAGAAGGCACCGCTCAGGGTATGCTCTGGGTCAGAACAGTCCTGCGAACTTTCCTCTGACTCCAGTTGGATGCTCCGGCGAGAGTTCAGTCACGCTTTCCCTCAGCCGTTTTCT